CTCCACTTTTTCTCGCACCTGTAGTGCTTATTATCCAGCCTCCTCTGAGACCACTTTTACTTTCACAGTTCTCCAAACACAAGAGACACTCTGTCTCCCTATATTGCTTTTAAGGCTGGTATTACTCAGCACTGCATCTTGGATGTGTTTATCTGGCCAGCAACTCTATGTGATAGGGAAGTGCTGCTGTGGCCATTTGTCAAAAAGAGAAAATGCAGAACCGCATTAAACTTGGTCCAGCATGTGGTTGCTAGTAGGAAAGTGGGAGATGGCACAGGATGAAGTCTTCACATGATAAAGTAAGAGTGCAATGCTTTCCTTTCTCAAGAAAAGAGAGAGCTTTTACTGCAAGACCAAAAAGGATCTTACACATATTATGGTGTCTATCAGTCCTGTATTCCTGATTCAGTATGCCAGCCTTTATAAAAGCCTTTCCCAAGCATCTTTCCTTGCCCTGTCCCCTGAGGTGCCTAGCCCATTTCTGTGTGGCTCCAGCATCTGAAACACTATCTCAGTCAGTACAAGAGCTGAGCTGTGAATCCATCCTTAAGTGATTTATCCTCCATCAACTTGCCAAAATCTGCCAGAGCAAGGACCTCAACCCTGTTTCTATGACAATGCCTGATTACTTGTGCTGGTCTTTCTCCTTGCCTCATCAAGAAGGAATGCAAAGGTGAAAATCAGAACATGCTACTCTTTATTCTATTACCAAACAAAACAAGGCAAAGAAAATAACTCTGAGTAATCTCTGAAATCCAGAAAGGAACAGTGGAGGACATAAATGAAATTATCATTTGTTTTGTAGATCAATCTCATTAAAATATATCCTTTCAGAGGGTAGTTTTATGGAAAGGATAGCAACTGAGGGCAGGGAAAGAGAGTTGCATTATTTAAAACCCTTGAATTGACTGCTATTGGAAATAATGTCTTGCAAGCATCAACTGAAGGGTAAATAAATCCATTATTGAATGTGACTCAAAGCAGTATACAAGCTCAGCAATCGTTTTTGCATTCTGGATTACCTTCCCCCTTATCTGCTATCTCTATTGCAGATGCAGAACATTAACATTTAGGGCATTCCATTTTAATATAGGAAATAAGTTCCCACAGATTAGACTGGCTCTTAGTTCTTTGTAGAAGAATAAAGGCCCTGGAAAGTTTTAAGGGCATGTCTCACTTTTAGATGAAAGAACTTTTTCTTTACCATGCACATGTCTTAGATTTGACTATCTGGTTGTTTGCTGATGGAATGTTTTTCCCTTTTTACATTGACAATTTTTTCCTCCTGCTGAATCTGATTCTTTTGAGTCTTACTTTGAAAACCAGGGTGAGGAACAGTTTGTATGCAGGCACAGAGCACTTGGGGAGCTCTCAATCAGCACTGCCTAGAGACATGACCTTAGACTATTACTGCAGTTGAAGGAAATTGACATCCCATAAGCAAACATTTACAAATTGTGAAATATTCAGGTATTAGATGGGAGCCTATTGAGAAGCTCATAGGTTCCACATTTTATTACCATACTGCACTAAAATCCAGGAGCAAGGAAATTACTTGAAAGATGCTTTAACCTGCACTCCCCTTGAGCTAGGACTCTGAGGGAATGGCTCCATATGCTCCCTTAGCAGAACTCCCTGGAAACTGCTGGGAACAGAGCCTTATTAAGATGGTGTTCTGTACTCCTGCAGTGGTGTTTCTAGGAAAATGCAGCCATACAAGTTATGGATGCATGAACATGAAATTCATGGATGTGAACTGCTGTGACTGAAACTCTGAGAACAAGATCATTTCTGTGACTGAATTCTTACAGCTGGTTGAATATCCTGCAACAAAATTATTTCATTAAATTACTTTCTGATCTAAAAAAAAAATTGTGATTCTCTGAATTTCCAGATTTGGGACAGCATTAAATAATGCATTTCATAACAATGACCCTGAGAGCTACAGGACAGCTCTAATATAGGACAATTTGAATCAATTCCTTTTAATTACAGGAAACAAACTCTGCAGAGGATTCTGCATAGAGTGACTGTACATCTGAAATGAAATCTCCTGCCTTAAGAGTTAGCTTTATTTCTTGCTTTATGGCAGAATCTGAAATATTTTCTACGACTGTACAGTGAGATTGCTTAGACTTTTTTTGAGTGAATGAAAAATACAATATAGGAATCCACACACCCCTAACTGGGTCTGGTCTCAAATAGATTACTTGGATTTAAGTTATCAGATCAGCAGATTAGTTTAGAGTGTCAGCCTAATTCAAATTATTGTCCAAACCTTGTTTTTCTTTATGGAAACCAGAACTGCTTATCCCATTCCTCTGCAAGTCTGCTGCATATCTTACTTTTTTCATCTTTCATAATAGTTGTTGAATCAAAAGAACTGAAGAATCTGTGATTTAAACAAGGTCCAGTAGAGCTTGGATTATTCACAGAATTCCCTGGTAAAATAGGAAGAATTCATGTCCTTGCTTTTTGAAAGAAAGGCTGGAACAGAGGAGAGAATGACTTTCTGAAGGTAACACAGCAGATCAATGACAAAGAGGACTTTTGATTGCTATTCCTGCATTTGGGCCCTGTAGGGGGTTGGAACTAGATGATTTTTAAGGTCCTTTCCAAATCAACTCATTCTCAATCTGTGGTGGCACACCATGGACTGCTTGTCAAACAAAAGCTGAATGAAGGACATCTTATTATCTGCATTTCTTAGAGGCAGAAAGGTTCTTTAATACTGTCCTGGTTCAAATAGGATGCATCCAAATAGCCCAGAGACAGACTGCTCATCAGTCTCCAGGCCATGATGCTCAAGAGATGAGCTGCATGCTTAACCTAATTTTGTAAGGACCTGAAAAGCACAGCTACCAGCCTTTCTGGACAATTTGGACAAAACATGAATGTCTTTTCATCTAATTCTGTGTTGCTGACAGCAGAATTATAGCAGGGAAAAGAGGAACTCAGGCAATCACAGCACAGCCGTGGCCAGTCGTAAAGTATTTCAAGTTATTTCTGAATTAGGTACTTTCAAGTACATTTAGTTTTGTCTGACTTGCCTGTTTTGTTGTACAAATTCTATTTTCATTATAAAGTGATAATAAGCTTGAAATTACTCCTTTTCTAATCCAAGTCAAAAGCTCATGTCTTTGAACTACGAATGGTGGTGAAAACAGTTAAAAGGCTTGGGAATGTGAGTGGAGCTCTCAGCTGCTCTGGCCATGTGCACGATAATTAAATGTGTGACAGAAGAAATTTCCTTCCTTTAAAAGAATGAATAGTTGTGGTCATGAAGCTTATTAAAGAATTTACTATTAAGGGTTATTTGGTGACTGGGGATGTGGCTCTTGAACAGCAACCAATATGAGTGAAGTAAATATTCAGATGAAAAAGAGACCAGGCTCACCACCGGATATAGGGCAACAGTGTAACTTGTGACTGTACTGTGAAGTGGTGTTGCCCAATAAGGCCTTTCTCACACATAAAACCATCCAAACAAAATCTCTGTAGTGAGAAGAAGCCTGAATGAAGGTTATTTCCTTCAGATTAATGTAAGAATCAAAACTAATACATAAGACTCTATTAGGTGGCTCAAATGTTTTATATTGGAGCTGTTAACTTACAAAAATAACACCAGGGAATAATACAGTGGTTTTGGGGGTTTCTTTTTGTGTAATCTTCCAGTGCTACAGACAAAAGCTTAAAATCATTGACAATTTGAAATATGGTAGGCACATACATAGCATGCTACTTTATGCAAGGCAACCAGAACGAAAAGATGTTATTTTTACAAGTAATCACCTTTGTTTTTCCAAAATGCATAAATCACATTCAATTTGCTCTCAAGGCTTTAACATTTCCAAGCATATCTCCAGAAAACCTCTGGAGATCTAATTATTCCAGGGTACCACAAAAAGAGAGTTATTACTTATTTGGACTGCTAAAACTTCTAGCTGCAGTATGATGACTCCTTTGTCTGTGTTATTCTGCTTCAGAAGAGTTTCTATTCTCTGAAGCAAACAAAGTTAGTAATTTATTTTTCCCAGACTCAAGTTCAATCACTTATAATACCCTAGGCTGAAAGGATACCAGGTATGTATAATATCCAGAATTCTAAAATAGTAGTAATAATAACTTTTGTTTAGAAAAGGAAGTGTAGGGTTTACTTTAGAACTTAGACCAAGTGGGGAAATTATTTTGATCTAACTTAGTTGAAATGTTTTGATTCTACCATCTTTACTGGAATGCTTTATGCATAATTTTAAAGTCAGGAGCCTCCAATTATGTGTGGAAATCAAGTGTGTGGATTGCAGAACAATGGGTCCTAGCCTCTGGTGAATAACAGCAGAGAATAGTCTTGTAACAGCTGTGTGCCCTCAATTCTAACCATTCCCTTCAGGTTAGCTTTTGAAAACAAGTCTTGTCATAGCTGGATTTTTTTTTTTTCTGTTCTTACATGATTGCAATCGCAATCTGGGGACTGCTTGGGTTTTGGAGTTAAATAACATAAGAAGAATCTAGATATTTATCATGGCTAAAATAACAGAAAATGTTAATTCTATGCAGCTTAGAGAAACTTGGAAAAATTTCCTCTGTTGTGACTTTTAAAAAATTTATATCCTTTATACATCTTTTATACTTCCATAGTTCTGCGTAGACTGGCTCCATCATCATCATCAAACCTCTCCCTGATCTTTGAAATCGTTTGCATATTCATTTTCTGTCATGACCTGAAATGGCCTTTGGCACAATAAATGTGGTTGTTTTTCTGAATGGTGGACATGCTCTCGCTGGGGACTGATGTATGGAATTCATGGTACAGATTCCATTCTCATAGTATAATGTAGTTTATCATAAAGAGGAACACTGGCTTCTCTTGGCCCCACCCGACACAAATCAGCAGATGAACCACAGACTTGAATACAAACCAGGTGATGCACATGAAGGAATAGGAAGTACCCTGCTGTGGAGCAAGATGGTTTACACACTTACCTAGACTGAAATTTCCCCCTATAGATGGCATCTTGAAGAAACAGTGGCTAGATTTGAGACCCATTTAGTAGGAAAGCAAAGACATTCATTACAAAGATAGAATCATGGAATCATAGAGTGGCTTGGATTGGAAGGGAACTCTTCAAGTTATCTAACCAGCCTGCCAGGGCAGTGACGTCCTTGGCTAGATCTGGTTGCTCAGAGCCAAATCCAATTAACCTTGAATGTTTCCAGGGATGGAGCATCCACCATGCCTGGGCAACTTGTTCCTGTGTTTCACCACCCCTATTTCCACACCTCCCTATTTTTTCTTGCCAGAAAAAAAAAAAAAAATCCTTATCCCTTGTGTAAGTCCACATTCTTTTAGTTTAAAACCACTACCCCTTGTCCTACCAAACCAGGCCCTCAAAACAGGTTTGTCCCCATCTTTGTTATAAGCCCCCTTTAAGTACTGTAAAGCTGCAACCTCTGCCCAGAGCTCATGCAATTCTTGAAACAGTCTGGGATATGCTGCTATCCCCCTTCTGTTACTTCTGTTGATTACAAGTGAAACATCTTTTAAATATTAATGCTTAAAGAAGGTGTCAAGACTAGAAAAGTAAAACACAAAGATGCACTCTAAAAGTTCTTAAGTACCTTACATAAAGTGTTTAAAAGGAATTAAACAATCAAATGAAGGATTTTGACTTTCAGACTACTAAAAATCTAGGTTAAACCAGAACCAAACTGTTTACATTTCAAACATCCAAAAGTTCCTAAGAGATGTGAATGATGACACCAGCTTTCATAATAGGAGGATACAATCAACACAATACCCACTGAATTGTTGTGTTCAAATCAATATTTCACATGCCAGTTCTCCAAATCCTGCATGAACAGAAATTATGAGACAAATTGATCTACAGTACCAATGCACTTTTGGCCTTTAGAATTTGAAAGTCTGAGTGCCCTTTCTGATTTTCATCTCAATATTCCATGCACTCAGGAAATCTGTACCAAGGCAAAGAATTGGACCTCAGAGCATCTCATTCAGCACATTGACCACTGATACTTCCTTCCTCCCCAGATCTGTGACTTTTTTGAAAAGGCTTTTGAGAATGAGAGTTTATAACAGTGAACATTGTAAAAAGACTATAATAACCTGACTTTATTTCTGGAATCTGATGCAATGAAGCAATAGTCTCAAATCAGCATTTCTCGGGCAAAGTGGTTATATAAATATTTAGAGATAATATTCAGTGTTAAGAATGATGAAAAACATCCTCATATCATTCACAAGAGATAGCTTTTATGCCTTGCTTCCTCCCCAGGCTATTGTGCAGTAACCTGTTGACTGGGTACATTACTGCTGCCTCTCATATTACAGCAGTTGCATTTCAGAATGTTGCAGTAAAAGACCTAAAAGAAATGCATACTATGTATTTAAAAATCCACCTTTAATACCACCAAGAGAGGAGCTTTTCAAGGTGCATATTTAGACCAAATGAACTATTTTACGAACTGATTTCTCTGTCCTTAGAAACATTTGAAAAGAAATGGAAACGTTACCTTGGCTGACGTTTCAAACCAGCCCACGAAGCCGTTCTCTTTGCAGAACTGATCCATCTTGATGCCGTTGTTCATAAGAACATCTATTCCCTGGTCACATTTGTTTGCTAATAGGACTGCTGGCACAGGTTTGCCATTTGGAAGAACCAACTTAGAGTCCAAATCCTCTTTCCATTTTGTCACTGCTTCAAACGTCGCAGGTCTTGTAACATCAAAGACAATAAACGCCCCCATAGCCTCTCTGTAATACACCCTGGTCATGTTTCCAAATCTTTCCTGTCCTGTAGTGAAGAAAGTAGGAGGGGAAAAAAACCACCACCTTGTAAAAATCATTGCTTCCAGTCTAGGTTAGTATTTCACATACCAGGTTTTCTGAGATAACATTACTGGGTGCAGGACTTCATTTTATAATGTTTATAGTTTCCCAGGGAAACTACTCTGCCTAAATAATTACAAGTACCATGCTAGAACAATTTGTATGAAAATGCAGGAGAGTATTGCATGAAAAAGGAATTTTCAACTCAACATCCAAGGAAAGTTAATGAAGTTCACTACAAGTGAATAATAACTGTAATAAATGAATAATAAGTGTATGGTCTGTGAACAGTACCAAGAGTCTTTGGGTACATGATAGGACTTTCAACAAGAGTAAAAAAAAAAGTATAGGTACTAGATTGGAAGTTCCTTAGTACTATGGTATTTTGTCTAAAACATCTAACACAACTGAACTGCTCAAGCATGAAGATGATCCTGCATGTTCTTATGCAAATGATAAAAACCAGCAGTAACATAATATAGCTCTGGAGCCATACCAGGCATCAGAGTAATTACAAGTTTACTTTTATTAGCAAACTAAAACACAGAGGTGAGGAAGGTGAATTTAAAGCCTTACAAACATGGAAAGTGCTCTAAGAAGTAGCACAGCAGTAGCAATATAAAGAGCTGCATTGCTCCAGTGAACAGATCTGTGAGGAGAATTTCATACTAAATCTCTTCAGAAGCTTCATGGTTTTATTTGCTGAATTCAAAGTGCTTTCTGGGAAAGGACAGAAGGTTTGTGAGTTAAAAGTACATTCATATATTCAAACATGGACTTTTGTAAATATATGTAAATAATTTTGTATTATTAAAAGTGTAAACAAATTAACACATGACATCAGGATGTTGTATGTTGATCAGCTGTGGATTTGTTAATATATCTGCTCTTTTAATGGGAACTCTGAAAAAATATATTACACAGAACTTTTTTTGAAAATAAAAAATAGATTTTCTACTAATGTCTACAGCAGACCTGTGATCCAAAGAAGCATTATAAGCTTCTGGAACATTTCACAGCAATAGCAGTTTTTAAGCAAGACAACTCTTGTATGTGCTTTCATATGTGGGAAAAAGTGCTATGGAAATAGAAGCAAAGTGCTATGGAAATAGAAGCATTAAATTCAAGCCTGTTTCTAGCCTTACTTTCTCAACATGAGCAATTTTGAGTAGGTTAGGAAGACAAGAAGATTGGCAGTCTGCCTCTGACCCCAGGAAGTTTACCTGTGGAGAATTTATCTGATGGAAATTGTGCTGTCAAATGTAAGGGAGGGCTGAGAAGGGAAAAGTGCCGATTGCTGGGCTTCTAGACCACGCACTTTCACTTAATGGAAATAGCACTGAACCCACTTAAAGGGTCAACACCATCAGTTTGTGATGTCTATCTTTGGTTTTAAGCACTGTGGCAGCAAGGAGAAAGTCACTCACATGATACAGAAACCAAAGAAGCAGCCTGTCTTCTCCAAATTCATGTCAAACTTTTTTTTATCTTAAATAAACACTGTGTCCTATTGACAAAGGAAGATAGAAATAGATTATTTCTGGGAAAGGTCATATTCAAAATTTCTTTTCTCTATATTTTATTCAAATGTCTTATGATTCCTACCAGTGGGCTAATCAGATGAGTAGCTAAGTCATGTGCTATTCAATAATCTCCTTGTTGAGAAATTCTTTTTTCATCTGCAAGAAGGTGCCTTCCACCAAAAGCCAAGGTCTGATTAGAAGCATAGCAGTGAGGTAAGCAGCAACATATACAAACAGTTTTTGATGGATATTGTATTTCACTGATGCTTTATATTTCTCATACAAAGTTCTTGGGATGCTTACACTCTAGGTGATGTAAGAGCAGCTCAACTCACTCCTCAGACATATTTATTGGGACACGGATTGCTAAGATACTTGGGACATGGTGTCACAGAACATCAACTAAATTATTCATTTGCAGCATGAAATCATTCACCATGAAGGAAGTTATTAAAGGAATAAAAGGCTAAAGGCTCCAAAGTTGTGATCTTCTGCCTTGTAGTGGCCCACAGGTTTCTGATAAATTGTATGACACTGATTCTCCCTCTTGCTTCCAGCTGCTTCTCCAGATACACAGGATTTTCACTGCACAGAAAAGCCAATGTGTTTGTAAAAGCAGCATTTTGCAGGAAGACAGGGATAACCAATTTCCATCACCAACCACTTGAAAGAAAGAGAAAGAATGGAGCTGCTGGATTAACTGTCTAAACTGTTTTTGAAGTGGTCTTTTTCTCCATCAGTTATAATTAATGTATCAATATATTTGACAGAGAGACATTAGGCAAGTGCAAATGGAAAAAGAGGTGCTTTATAAATCAGAGGTGCTTTATAAATTTGACTATACAAAAGTCGTTTGCATAATGACTTTTATTTAATTTAAATTGTGGAAAAGGTGATCTCTAGTGTTTGCATGGAACTTGGAGAACTAAACAATATGTCTAAGAATGCACAAGTACTCTTTTCCACAGATTCTTGCTTATGTGAACAAAATCCTATATTAATAGATCAGGTTCCTAAAACTTTTTCATTTAGCAGAATTACTCATAAAAATAGGCATTGTTTGATGTATAAAAGATGTCAAAATCTGGCCTTAGGTTTTCAGCAGCACAATGTCTTAGGCAGGAACTAGGCTAGAAAATAGATCAACCATTAGGTATTCAGTGGTATCTCGCAGGCAGCCTTGAACATTAGAATCTGCTTTACTGCAAGAGCGACTGGGGAAGGTTGGTTTTGCTTTTCGCTGGAAGGGTCAGAAGCCTGGCAAATATTTGATCTGGCCCATGGTACTTTACTGCATCCCTTGCAAGGTCGCTGGCATTTGGCATCAAACCCTGCAATTGTAGTGGCCTTTGCCCACTGAGATGGTGCTATATGTTGGGATTATCAGCCCTAAATTAGATTTTTAAAAATTTTCTGGGAGTACTGAAGGTTAGGGTCCCTTTGTAGTTGGAGACTGAGAAGAAATGTCTAATTGTTAATTCAGATGAATCCTACTCTACTTGGAAGTGAACCCAGTGAGACCAAGGTAACAAAGCAACAAGATTTTTACTAAAGGGAAGCACTCCCTGTCTGAAGGGCAGCTGTCTGCACATTTATCTTAATCTCAGTGGCACCTCTGCAGCACGAAAAGCTATCAGTTCATGGGATTAAAGCAACCAGCAGCTGAACTTTTATAGTTTATAAAAATTTACCCCATATAAATTAGTTCAGTAATCTACATTTTTTCACTAACCACTGTTGTCTCTAATAAAGGTATGAAAAGTAATGATGAAGTGCTGTAACTCAGGTAATTTCCACCATCTTGACCACAGCATCTGAAATGTGGCACAAAAATTGAAATTAAAAATTGATTAAAACTGCCAAATCCTGAGTTTTATGATGCATTCTACTTCTTGTCACTGTCCTAAGAGACAATGCTTTTGGGAGCCACCTTGCTTTACAGACATCCTTTAGCCAGCACTGAGAAGCTGGAAACTCTGGAGAAGATTTAAACATTTTTTTACCTTTCACTTCAAAACATCTTTCAGAATATTCACACTTGAATTCAAATAATTGTCTTTATGGACTGAAGCTTAAGCAGTCCTTGAGCTGATGTTCACTACCCCAGAATGAGGAAAAGCAGACTGTCAGCAGGATCTGGCCCCCAGATTCCACCAATCTCTACTGAAATAAAACCCTCACAACAAGAGACTTATTCATGTTTGCAGAACAGTAATTTCAAGGTAACTTAGCCTAGAAATCACCATGACTATCTTATTTATGCATATGTGCTGCAATGCTTAGCAGCTGCCGAAAGCCTAAAATGCTGAGGACGTGCTGTGCCTGGCATTAGTGAACAGGTTTCCACTTACTCCCTCTGCAGCATAACAATCCTAAAAACTTTGCAACTGCAGAGAACTCGTCTGTATCTGTGGGAAGACTGCTGCTTCTGAAGGTGAAAGTAACTGGGAAAGGAAATGGAACTGTTCTTTCCCCAAAGCATCAGTCCAACTCTGTATGAGATGAGAACCAGACTTTTAAACACAAAACAACATCTTTTTGGTAGTAATGAATAATCCAGCCCACTCAAATAGGGGAGTAATAAGGAGGATGCTGAGATGGTTGTGGAAAAGAAGCAGGAAGCAGGCTCTGATGTGCTGCTCTCTGCTCTCTGATGCTCAAAGCTTCTTCCTGCAGTAAATCTATGGCTAAAGCTGGTCTTCAGAGAAATCTCTGGGCTACTTGGGCACAAAACACAAACAGTAGCACAGAGAGCAGCCTTGCAGAGAAGGGAATAGCAAATACACCCAGATCTGCTGTCTGCTTTCTTCAGAAGTGGTGTGCCAGCCTGCATCTGCAGGGCCAACCCCATCCACAGTAACCTTGTGCAAAATATGATTCACTTTCTTTAAAGCTTTCCTTTCAACAATTTGTTAATTAATTTAAAGGATATGCACACAAAGGCAGCAGAAAAGATAAAGAAATAAAGACAGAAATTGACTGAAGAGCAAGATTTAATGTTGTGTGACACAACACACTTTAACAGGAACACCAAAACTGATAATTTTTGACATAAGGTGAAACAAAATGGAATTACTATGAAGAAATTAAAGACAATGATAATTTTAACATGTATATATTCTCCCACACTCAATACTAAACATTCTGTCATTTCAGACACTTCCCTGAATCAGATATAAGTTCATAGATTTTAAAGATAACATGTTGTTACAAACACCATAACATCATATAACATAAAAGTTAATCTTACTATTCCTGCCTAACAGCCCCAGTTTCAGGAATATAATTTGTGTTAAAACCACTGTCTTAATGTAACAATGTGTGATGAAGAGCCTACATTATCCCTGAATTAATTTTTGTAGTACTTAGTTATCCTTGGTTTTTTGCATTACTCTCTCATCTAAATAAATGCAGTTTCAGCATTTGGCTGTTAGATCGTATTATAGTTTTGTTTATGACACAGAAAAATATGTTACACAAATATTAACTACATTTAATTAGATGGCACCAGATGAACCAAATTTACTTTCTCTTTTCATGCATGTTAAGGGTAAACCAGGCTAAACTGCTTGTTCCTACCACAGCTGGAATGTCAGTCCTCCAATGAAGTCACCATGTACATAAATCCTCCTAATAGTGTAGATAAGCTTGACACTGGTTTTACTTACAATATTTTACAGAAAATTATTTCTAAATTGTAAAAATTTTACTACCCACTGATCCACAGCATGAAAAGCAAGGAGTACACACAGGCTTGGTACTGCTTTCACTGCCTGTATAATGGAGAGGCGAGAGGATATAAGAGGTAAAATAATACCTGGTATCTATATATACATACATATATATCTATGTATTCATATGTAATTACTAATATGAAATATTATTGATGTATTTGCAAAATTTGCTTCAAGGTGTCCTGCATGTTAAGCCAACATCCCTTAGCTTGGTAAGAGACTGAAAGTTTATTTCTTTATCCCAAAAGATAAACCTGAGCTGATAACAGAGTCCACTAAAAGACAGAGGATGCTCTTAGGCCAGAGATTTTATAATCCTCCCTCTTCTCATTTGCCCATTTGTATTTTGCAAATGTTGATACATAACCAACCACAGCCAGGAGAAATCAATTCTATTCTCTCCATATTTCCAATTAGTTTTACTTCTCTTTCAGTTTTGAACCTCTTTTTCTCTAGCCAGCTAGATACATTATGTGTGATAACTTTTATGCCTGCGCCATGATCATCTGAATTCAGTATGTTGCTTACAGAACTTGCTCTCTATGTACAGCCAGCAACAGCTAAAGCTCTTTAAGCAGAAGTGATAAAAGCTAAGACAGCAACTCTTTTTATTACTGACCGCTGTCCTGACCTTCACGATGATGCTTAGAATTGGGCAATTCATATGAAATTTAGTACTGTGCTGTAATTCTCTCTGCCATGTGTGATAACTCAGAAAGCATGCTAGTCATTCAGTACTACAACTAGGTGCAATTGCTTCTGCAGCCTGACTGAAAGCTACATCATATGATCTGCCAGCACATGATTAGTAGTGTAATAAATCTCTGAAACAAGGCATGCAAAATACATTCTTTAAGTCCCTGATACATTCAAAATTTACTATTAAATGCTTTTTTCTCATGCAGAAACGTTTTTCTGGCAGTGTATGTATTTGTTGTTACAATCAGCCACTGGTGAACAGTAAAATAAATGTTCGCCCCATTATTCCATCTTTTAATAAAGGAAACTGAGAATATATGTATTTAAAACCATAAAACCACACACAAGACTGTATCAGTGTGTGAAAAAGCAGAGTTTATGTCTTGCATAAAGCAGTGTTGTTGCATAAGTTTTAGTACCTCAGTGCCAAATTCAGAGCTCAGACATGAGACAGCTCAATGCAGAAGAAAAGCACTCCCTCCACCGTTAAGAATGTCAAGAATTTTTTCATCTCACCAGTTTTACCCAGTGCTGTTCCAGACTAGATCAATGAGCCCACAACTCAGGCCAAAGGCTGGTACAGTTGCCTAACAGCTGATATGATGTTCACCTTTATTCCCCACTTAATGAAAGCAATTTCTTAATTTAATTGAGTTTTAAATGCCATCCTTTATGCTGCAATCTATTGTTACAGTTGTATTTGATTCCTGCATTCACTAAATGAAAAATTATTACTTAGAGCATGGGATATATGCTATCAAGATAAACTTTTTTTGTGGACTGAAACAAAAATGATTGATTTTCAGAAAGTGAGTGGCAAAAAAATGTTATGTGTTTAATTTGAAGCCAAATTGAAAATGTCTGAAGCTCTGACAGCAACAATGTCAAATTCTCTGGGTTTTAATGATGTTAGTATGGGGAGATATCTGGACTTCTTTACTCTTTTTCTCCTTGCAGAGGACAAATCAACTTTTGTTTTGCTTGATGTTGGAACAAGGGTATTTAAATATTAGTAATTATATTTTAACAACCAGAATACTGCCAAGCAGAAACATTTTTCTTTCCAAAACATATAAAAATTTGCTTTCATTGGACTGAAGGAGGGAAGGTAGGAGAGAGAGGGAGAAGGAAGGTATTTCAATAAACTAACTCAGATATAAATTTTCTTCATCTTTTAAACTATAAAAGTAATCATCTTACTGAATGCCTCAGCTAATCCACCAAGTTAAAAAGATTTAACAGGACATTCTTCTGCCTGTCACAGAGATCTGTTAGTCCAAGGAGGCAAAACTGAACATTGCCGGCTGCAAGGAAACAACTGAGGCATTTGGGGAGAGGTGCCTGGGTCCCTGAATATGTCCAAAAATCAGCTAGCAGAGGTTCCACTCTGACTCTCTGACTTCCCTAGTTTGGGAGTCTGCAGGTTTTAGGGATCATTTCTCCAAAATGTCAACCTGCCCTTAAAGTTTTCTCTCCTCAATCTGCTCTCCCTCGCTGCACAGGCAGTGGCAGTTCCCAGCCTTCAGAGCAGTGCAAACGCATTGGGGTCTGTATTTTGCATTGTCTTTCGATAGATGAGGGGGCAAGGGGCTCTCCTCTGTACTCACCCGCGATATCCCAGAGCTGCAGCCGTACCACAGTGTCAGCATCCCAGTTCAGCACCTTCAAAGCAAAGTCCACCCCGATGGTGGCCCGGTAGTGGGGGGAGAAGTTCTGGTGGACATAACGCTTGATGATGCTGGTTTTGCCCACTCCCAGGTCCCCGATCACCAGCAGCTTGTAGAGGTGCTCCTTCTGGCTGTGCTTCTGCATCTTTCCTGTGGCTGCTCCCTGCAAACTGATTGCATGCTCTGCGCCAGGAATCCTGCCAGCCTGAGGGGAAGAGAGGGGTGAGGGACTGGGGAGGGAAGGAAGGAGAGCAAGGGAGGTGGAGGCTCTCTCCCTTGGTACGGAAGCAGGATCACCAGGTCCAGCAGGCAGCCCTGTGGGAGATGAAGTAAGTAAGGACTGGGGGAAGGAAGTCTCCCAGAAAGTTTTGTGTGTATGTGTGTAAAGGTCAGCACGAGGTGTGTCTGGGATTAGTCTGGCTGCTAAAGACTTTGCAGGGAAATTCATGCAGAAGTCCTGTACTCAGTTTGGCTCCTTGCTAAAAGGACAGTGTTTCTGCTGTGCACTAGTTTTACACACAGTAAATTTTCAATCACTGCCTTGGTGATAATATATCACCCTATGCTTGTTTCCAGATGTCTTTAAGATGCCAGTCACTGTAAAAGAAACCCAGGAAACTCCCTTCAGAGGTTTCATGTCTCCACTAAAGTGCACAAATTAAACCAGTATGATTTTAGCTTTGGATGCAATTTGCTTCTAATCCGTGTTAATGCAAATGCAGTTACATCACTAGAAGTGGCAGTTATAGCAATATACAGCAGCTTTACTTGTATCCATACTAGGAGGGCTGAACAAATTTAATTGCAGCAGATACATATTTTTAAATTTCGTTACCATAATTGTGATTTTCTTTATATTATAAGCTTGTTCCCCTCTGAACGCAGCAAGCAGCTTGTGATTTGTTTTTTTCATACAACTGGACTCTAAAATGCAAAAACTCCAGTTTTATCTCATGACTCTAATAATCAGAAGTTATGAAATCGTAACAGCATTAGAGCATATGAATGCCAGTGTCTCAACAGTCATCTGTTTTCCAAAACAAGTGATCTAAAACTTGCAAACAACTGAATCCTTTTGAGTAAATCATTCAATTGACATGATTGTCCTTATATTTTGAATTAAAAACAGTGAATTTTACCTATGCTGCTTAGCTAGAGACCTCGACCCATTACCTAGAGATGTTTGATTCTTTTAACAGCTTTGATAGCAAACCCAAAGATTTCAATATTGTGTGCAACTTCTCAGTGAATAATTTTTATATTTATTGGTGTTCTGGATAAAATGAAACAATATTTTTACTTATTGTAATATTATTTGATTAAATTCTTATCCAAGTGTGGACTGAAATGGCATTAGAATTTTGTCATCTATCCAAAAAGCTGGATTTTAGTAGACAAAGAATCCAGAACATTCATATTATGAAGTCTTTTATAATTGGTCTTTAAAATCAAATTTTAAATTTATATATATATATGTACATAAACATACAAAGTGGAAATAAGGAACTTGAGAGAAAAATTTTCTTATTTTCCTTGAACCTTTTTTTAACATGAGGATTTTTTTTCCTATAAGATAAATTGTCTTTCCAAAAACAAGCTGTCATTTGTATCCTGTTTGGAGATAAATTTTAAAGGGCTTAACCTAGTTAGATATGGACAAGAACTTGACAGGCAAACCAGTTTGATCTGTTAGTATATTTACATGATTCGAGCTTATTATTGTTATTACTGGTTGTATGTGCTATGTCAATTCTTGTCTTTACAGCTCCACTGTTTTTTGAGAGGATCCAATACTTGAGTACTTCTAAGCATTCACTATTATCCTCTAAAGTTGAAGATTTTGCCTTTTAGAGCTTAAACAAAGAACAGGCTGAGAGGATTTAGCAGTTTCGGAAATAACAGAATTGGTGTTTTGGATAAGGTTGAAATTACATCTGATGTTTCATCCTTCTTTGATGATGGTCATTGCTCAGAGAACAGTGCATGGAAGGTCCCTGAAAGCAGGTGTTTGGTAACTGGAGGTCTTTGGCTCTTAGTAAGTGTAGTTAGAGGCTAGCCTATGCCCAGAAGCACGAGGCTTTATCTCTCTTCCAAAGTTTTTGTTAGCATTAGCTATAATAGCTCTGGATAATCGTGTTACTTGTTTAAATCTCCAATTCTTCTCTGAATGTGGCTAAATTCTTGGCCCCAGCAGCACCCTGGTACAATGAGCTCCTCACAGGCTTAATCAAGGTCACTCTGGGCTGGCAGTAGGGTGACCAGTGAGATGTTCAGTGAGGTGCTCAGATGTGGGGTGAGCATGGAGAAGGGATTGCTGCAGTTAGAAGGGATGATTCGCTGAGCTAAAGTGAAGTATGGACTGAAGAATCTTGCAGAGTGAAAGCTGTACCCACGTCTCCTAACTTCACTGTGGGCTAGCTTTCATAGACACCATCTGCTAAAATGTTCCTGAATGTCCTGCCTTCCTCCACCTTTTTGGAATTATTTATCTGTACTGGATTGGCCTCCTTGCCATCTGAAGGCACTGGGGTGAGGAGGTGTGGACCTATCATTAATTTGCAGCCCTGCTGCAGCACTGTCACGGGAGAAGGCAGATAATTTGGGCTGGCTATGGCTTAGAGGATCACTGCAAGGTTTGTTTGATGATTCCAGCCGATCCCTTCATGCACACAAAGCAGTTACTGCAGCTCAGCCCAGGGAAGCACACCCAGCTGAGACCACACTTAAGGACAGCAATGTGAACTGTACCAGCTTGCATTTGCCACCCACAGGTAGGTGGTTAGCAGGGCTCAGCTGACACTTGGAACTTGTTAGGCTGGGTGAACCAGGTGATGCCTCTGAGCTCAGACTCTGCTGCTGTCCAGGCAAGAAAAACATGAAAGCACACCAGCAATTTGGTTGATATTTCTGTGTTTATATTTCATTTGTTTATGCTTTCTCCGGTATATGTACATTTTAAACTTTATAAAATCATTGTAAAAGATAATTGAAATTCCATGTGATAGTATGCATGTCTATGCTGTTTTATTTTTTGTATTTTCTTCCTATCCATTATTCTATTGTAATACTATACTAACATTAATAGAGTCTATTAAAATTCTAATTGGCCAAATCGATGACAAATCTATACATCTCAGTTGTAAATAATAACATTTTTTAAAATTCCATCAAATTAAGGAATTACAGGCTGTGTTGTGTTTTACATAAAAGTGAAACTCATTTTACAGTGATAATTTTCAGAAATTCCTCACTATTTTTCTGTTATTAGTTGTGACCTTTTTCTCTGAGAGAAGTGATAAAATTGAAGATGCAATTACATTGACAGGAATCAAGGGAAGCATAACTGCATCCTGGTTTCTACCACTCCTCTTTGTGTGGCATATACCACAGCAAAGGACGTCAACCTTGAGCACCAGACTTGTTATCAGCATACCTTTTAAAAAAGACAATGTTGTCTCAGATAATGAAACTACAAGGCAATAGTTTATGTCAAAAGAAAGACATTCACAGAATCATGGGAGATGCTGAGTTGGAAGGGACCCACAAGGATCATCGAGTCTAACTCCTGGCCCTGCACAGGACATCCCCAGGAGTCACACCCTGTGCCCAAGAGCTCTGTCCAAACGATTCTGGAACTCTGCCAGGCTGGTGCTGTGACCACTTCGCTGGGGAGCCTGCTCCAGTGCCAAAACACCCTCTGGGGGAAGAACCTTTTCCTGATATCCAACCTAAACCTGCCTGACACAGCTTCAGGTCATTCTCTCCAGTCCTGTCACTGGTCACCAGAGAGCAGAGATCAGTGCCTGCCCCTCCTCTTCCCCTCAGGAGGAAGTTGCAGACTGCAATGAGGTCTCCCCTCAGTCTCCTCCAGGCTGAACAGACCAAGTGCCCTCAGCTACTCCTCATATGGCTTCCCCTCAAGGCTCTTCACCATCTTTGTTGCCCTCCTTTGGATGATCTCTAATAGTTTTATATCTTTTCTTATATTTTGGTGACCAAAATTCAGATTTTTAGAAATTTATGTATTCAAAATATTGTCATCTAAAATGACATAGGGTTTTCACACCACAGCTATTAATGTTATATCTGGTAGCTTTGAATATCTTGAAAGGAGTGACCTACACCATCATATTGATCTTACTTAATAAGAAATAAATGACAGAGGAATGCTAATACACATCTCTCTGTGTGTATGCATATATATATATAGATAGATATATAGATATATATATACATATATACATACAAATCAATATCATAGATCATAATTTTAAATACTACTTAAAAAAATACAAAACACTGCACAGAGTTTTTTGCTGGACTTTTGTATTCCAATTGATTCTGGGGTAGGGAATAAATATAGTGTTGTTAGCTATGCAGTTAACAGCCTGGTGGTGCATGAATCATTGTGTTGAAAGAGTGAGAGTTTGTGGCTCTCTCACAATTGCAACCCTTAATCTGATAAAGGGACCAAGTTTGATTACTCATTGCATATTCCAACAGAGCTTCCATATCCATCAGCCCTGTGTGAACACAGTCAGCGCTCAGATACAAATACGTTTCTGTTCCAACAAGCTCAAAAATTAATAATAATTTGATATAATTCCCTCTCTCAAGGATATTTTTTTAATATAGATCCATACAACCTAATAAAATCCAAGTTAAAGTCTATCCTTTGGAGCCTGCAGCAAAAATTCTAGATGGACTGCAGTGCATTTTACACTAAGTGTATTTGAACAGTCACCTGGGAATACATGAGCACAGTGCAACTCAAAAAGCAATAAGGCAAGGACCAGAATGTCTGCCAAGGGTAAAATCTAATAACAGGGGGGTCAGTAATACTCCAGGAAAAGTAAAACGGCTTGTCCCCGAGGGCAGACAGCAGTGAAAGCATCATACAGCACAGATTTAGTCTGAAATGTGCCAGTTCCAAAGGAAATTTGTTGTACCTCAGATTCAATAAGCAAAGTGTAAGAGCACTCACTGAGGCTGCAGATGGAAGCATCACACTCCTTGCAGGAATGCTACTATGGAGCTACCAAAAAAAGCCTGGACCAAGCTGGCAGTGCACCAGTTTAACCTTCTCCAGGTACTTCAGAGGAGTATTTGTGCAGTGACAGTCAAACAGTTACAGTACTACACACAGGCATGTCTAAGTCAAGCTAGAATATTTC